ACCTTTCTGTGGTTTGCAAACTCTTTATCTGAATAAAATTACTCCTTTCACTGCACCACAGACTAGGGACTCCTGTTGGCATTGGATTGGTAACAGTGAGGTTTTGTTGACAGTTGGAAGGCTTAGACCTTGCTTCTCAACAAACCACTTAGACATCTACAAGACCTGTCAAGTCAAAATGTCTGAAATGGAATCAAAGCTGATTTCTCCCCATCCCAAACTTGTCCCACCTATCTCACATAACTCAGTATCTTCATTCTTGCAGGTGTTCAGGCATGAACTGTGGCATCACCTTGACTCTCACACCGAATATCCGGTCTGTTAGCACCTATTGGCTTTGCCTTCAAAATATATCCAGAATTTTATTTCATCATCTTATTACCTTACTGCTCTCACCTGGACCAGCCACCATCATTTTTTGACTAATTTCTCTCTTTGTACCCATCCCTTGTCCCCTCACCATCTTTTCCTAACAGAGAAGTCAGAATGATTCTGCTGAAACATGAATAAGTCAGATATGTCTTCTGCTTAAACTCCTTAATGGTTCTACATCTTACTCAGGGTACAGGCCAGAGTTGTTACAATGGCCTGCAAGGCCCCAAAAGATTTGGCTATCCTATTCCCTCTCTAACCCCATCTCCACTACTCTTCCACTAGCCATATTGTTATCCTTCTTATTCCTTACATGTTTCGGACAGACTCTTACCTCAGTGCCTTTGCATTTGCTGTTCCTTCTCTCTGGAATGTTTTTCCTCTAGGTTTTTGCATGGCTTTTCCACTCACTTTCTTTAGGTCTTTAATTAAATGCTATTTCTCAATGAGGTCTGCCTTGACCACTTATTTACAATTGTGCTCCCAACCTTACAACAGACCCTCCGCATTCCCCTACCCTATTTTAATTTTCTGTATAGCATATATCTACCTGTTAACTTTGTGAGCAACCATCCTAGTTTGCCTGAGATTGTCCCAGTTTCAGCATTAAAAATCCCACATCCTAGGAAACCCCAAGTTCTAGGAAAACTGAGATGGTTGGTTACCCTACTCATATACTATACATTTTACTTCTTTATTGTTAGTATATTAACAATAGAACAACGTATTTCTCTATGACAGTAGGGATCTTTGGCTGATTTGTTTATGATATCCAGGGAACATAGTAAGTTCTCAGTAAATATTTATTTAATAAATAAATGGAGAACCAATAATGATTATGATAACTTAGGATCATCCAGTGTTTAGTATTGAGAATTAGTAAATTCTCAATAAATATATGTTTAAAGAATAAATGAATATGCCCTGGCTGGTGTGGCTTGGTTGGTTGGAGTGTTGCCCTGTACACCAAAAGGTCAGGGCACATACCTAGGTTGCAGGTTCGATCCCCAGTTGTTTGGGGCCATTACAAGAAGCAAATGATCGCTATTTCTCTCTCCCTCTCTCCCTCTACCTTCCTCTCTCTCTAAAATAAATAAAAAGAAAACATATCCTTGGGTGAGTATTTAAAAAAAGAGTAAATAAATAAATTTCCTAAAACATGTACTATAACCCTAATTGCTATGTTAATTGCTAATATACATGCAAATATGACCCTAATTAGCATGTCCATTGCTAATTCTGTTTTATGAATGCTTTCCACAGTTTTTTTGTATTCATGACAAAAAATAATTTATGTATGACATATAGTGTCATGCAAAACTTCTGTAGACCCTCATTGATTTAGCACATATCTGATTAGGGAGTTGTGCATACTTTATGTACAGATGATTAGATGGACCTTCCCCCAAAGCCTGGAGTTGCTCAGGCCACATCCCAGCAACACTCATGCCTGCCCAGCCCCCAGCCCCACCCCCACCCCTGGTTCCTGCCCCAAAGTTCTGCACCCTCATCACTTCAGAACTAAACTGGTTAGAAAAGTTGAGCCATAATCTCTACACAGTTATAATCACTACAGATCTCAAACTTTTCAAAAGAAAAGAGATCTGGCAAACTATTTATATAAAAATAAAAAGCTTTCTGAGGTCCAGTGGGGTCTTTTCAAGAGGTACAGGTAGTCCTGGAAGGGACCTGAAGAACAGTCAGGGAAAGGGAATAGGGACAAACATGTCCTATTCCTGTCGGGGGGGCCTAGGCTCTTAACAAAATTGAGTGGCTCAGAGGCAATTAAAAAGAACACGAAGACTCCAACCAGTGAAAAGCCTGTGAGGACAGGACAAAGAAAGAACTGGAAGAGCTGGGGGAAAGGGCAGGATGGGTAGTGTCCACGTCTCCAGCGTGAATCAGCACCTGACTTGGTCAGGTCGCTAAGGTGACTTTCCTAATTAAGACAGCAGAGTGGCCGGATGCCACCCACCCCTCACTGCAGTGAGGGTCCCACTTCAGGAAGTGGCTTTGGCTTCCAGGGAATTTATCTGGTGATGTAAGCATCCAGGATCTAAGAGTGATTTCTATTCTGGTCCCCTGCTCCTTTCTCCGTGCGTGCGTCATTCTTCACTCCAATTCTAGTCTAACATGACCACCACCTGAGCTAGACCTAAGGGTAACACAATAAGAGAAAACCATTCCAACTCCAGTTCCCCCAGCCCCAGGGAAAGGACCCCTGCTCTGGAAACTTCTTACCTCCTCTCCCCCCTCAAGCTCCTCAGCACTTTGGAATCACCCGGAGAGCTCTAAACACTGCTGATGCCTGAGCATTGGGGTTTTCAAAGCTCTTTGAATGACTTCAATGTGCAGCATGGGTGAGAACCACTGCTCCAGATCCTGAGCTGTGGGCAGATAACCTTTTGGATGAATATCCTGTGGGTCACTGCACCTGTCTGCAGGGGGAAATAGGTGACAAGGAAGGCAGATGCTGACCTGAGCGGGGGAAGGCAGCTTGCTGTGCTGGGGATGTCCAATCCCCACGTCCAAATGTCATCAGTCCCAGGACATTTGGAGATTGCAGTCAGTTGCAAAAGTGAGTAAAATATTGATTTTTAAAATGAGAACATACCAAATTCACTCACATTTGGCTGACCAGTTCAATAGCTCAAGAGAAGTGAAATCCAAGAGTAATCATGGCCTAGCCCTGAGGGTGCTTCTCAAACTTGACTGCCCCTAGCCACCTGGCGAGCTTCTGAAAACATGTAAGTGGGCCCACCCCAGCCATTCCTATTAGTGGGTCAGGTTGGGGCCCAAGAATGTACATTTCTAATAAGTTCCCAGGTATGTTGATACTGCTGGCTGAGGGACCACTCTGGGAGAACCACTACATTAGAGTGTTTCACAGTGAACTGAATGAAGTGACATTTCCATCTGAAGCTCTTTACATCAGTTGTGTAAGCATGGTCTGCCTTAAAAGTGCAACATCACCAAACTGAAGAAACAGAAAAAACCAAGGCAAAAAGTGAGGTGTTAGATTGGTCAAAAATAACATTAAAATAGTTAACAATATTTGGAAGGATTAAGACATTTTTCTCCCTCACTTCCTTCTTTCAGGTATTTGGTTCAGAGAATTGGGCTTTGAGGATAATATGGTATTTTATGAAATGATATATGTAATATTGGCCTGAAAAAAAATCAGTGTAGTTTCCAGAAATGCTTCACTTTACTTCTGGGTGATAGTCTATGTATCTAAACAAATCATTCTAATCAGTAAAAGACCCTGGCCAGCCTTAGTTTGTGGGTAAAGCCCCACTAAGTGTTGTAAATATAAAAATTCATTAATGAGACAATGTTGGCAAAGCTGCTAAAAATCTAGTAAAGATACCTGAGAGTCTAGTCAAATATGCTCTTTCTGACATTCTCCATTTTCTATGATCCTATATAAGAAAAGCCTAATATGCAAATTGTCCCCTTGACCTAGAGTTCACCTGGGAGTTTGACCGCTCGCTATGACATGAACTGACCACCAGGGGGCAGCATGGAACATGGCGGATGTCAGCGACGCGGCGCTGCAGTGGAGGTGCTGCCAGCCCCGATGGGCCCTGACAAGAGTGGGACCGCTACTGGATGGTGGAGCAGGTGAGTGGGCAGCACCAGGCCACGGCAGGAGTGAGTGGGGGCTCGATTGCCCCACCAATCGTCCTGAAGACAGCGAGCTAACGAGGGGCGGGGCTGCCGTCTAGCTTCCAGGTGCTGAGGGAGTTGGGCCAGGACCCTGGCCCAATCAATCACCCCGCAGGTGGGATGGTGGAGCAGGTGAGGGGGCGGTGCCAGGCCAAGGTGAGGTGCCAGGCAGGGCTGTGGGGCTGTGAGGCTGGGGGCGTGAGCTGGGCCCCAGCTCGCGCCCCCAGCCTCACAGCCCACCCCAAGGGACCCCACCTGTGCATGAATGAATTCGTGCACTGGGCCTCTAGTTACTAAATAAGAAAACTGGTATTTCACAAAGCTAATTCTATACAATCAATGCATATTTGATTAACCCTGGAGTGAATTCAATCTGCTGAAGTTATCTAGATAATATGACAGTGGGGGGCATCATTTCTTCTGATAGGCAATAGTGTTCCTGCTTTATTTAATAAGATCACTCAGCTGGGACACCAGCATGCAGTCATTAATAGGATAGCATCAGATGGATGGCTTCTTTATGCACTGTTACCCTTCTAGCGATGCCCACTAGCCTGTTATTACAAACACCCTAGCAAACTGGTCCTGTCAGATTTTTGTCTCAGGCATGCTTAGGAAAGCAGAAAAGATAATGCTGCTCTCTAAAATATGTTTTGTTGAAAACAGACCATCTATATTCTCCACATTCACTGATTAGAGAGATTGTGAATACTTTCCCAGCTTTCCAGAGTTTTTTATCTATGTAGCGCTGGCTTCAGGCAAAGCCCATTCATTATTTGTTCCACTGGTTTGCAATGTTAGATTTTTTACTTAGAAATATCTCACTTTCACTGTACTAGTAAAACCATAGCCTCAGGAGCAAAGATGGCAAGATATCAAAATAAGTAAGTTTGTTTTTTGAATAGGAAAAAGCCCAGCTTTGACTTTAAAAATGGGTCTCTGATTATTAATAGACTTACTTGCTGATAATGAGTGTTTCCTCTCCACATACCCAGACTCTCATGAACTCTCCGTACATCTTGTTGTAGTAGTTGCAGGCACTGCCAATCCCCATCCACAGGAACCTGAAGTGGGAGATGAGGGGCCCAATTCCCATACAATAGCCAGGACCTAGGAAAACCATCAAGTCACAGTCAGCATTCCAGTTACGCCAAAAAGAGAAACTGCTTTTCTACTGCTGTTCTTGTTCTTTTATACCTAAGTGGTTTTTTTTTTTTTTACATCTCCTGATGTATATCTGTGAATCACTAAAAATTAAAAAAAAAAATAAACCAGTAAGCTTAACTAGAATTCTTTACCCCTTCATGAGTAAAAAGGAATTCATTGTCCACACCATACTAGTTCCATTTGGTCTCAATCATTTCATGCAGAATGAACGAGGGCATGTGTCTACTGTTTTCTTGCCATGTTAAATGGTGTCAGTGAGTTTCAAATACAAGTTAATCAGTCTGTCAGTTATAAGCATAGACCCCAGGGAAAGTGACAAACTGACAGATCTGTTTGACTACCTAGTTTTGTCTGAAAACTTTTGATTTAAATACCCCAGTTGACCTAATGGGTGGATCAGAATTAGGTTGTAGTTTTGGTATAAACTTTGAAAAAAATTTTATGGTGTAACCTTTTAAACTAAGAAAAACATGGCCTGCAAAGGTAATGTCTAAACAAATAATATTCATCCTTTTTCCTTCAAAAAGGACTCAGTTTAAGAAAAGAATCTTAAGCTAAATCTCATTAGACAAAATAAACCTAAAACTTTAAGTGGGCAGTGAGTCTGATCAGTTTTTAGACCAGAGTTTTAGTCCTTCAATGTGGTTTTACTCAGCCACTTTCATCCTTGCTTATGCAGACATAGGCAGAATTTATAAAAAATCATTTAATTTATTGATTTTAGAGAAAGATGAAAGGAGAGAGAGAGAAACACTGATTTATTGTTCCATGTATTTATGCATTCATTGGTTGATTCTTGTATATGCCCTGACTGGGAAGATGCTCCAACCAACTGAGCTACCCCTCTAGGGCAGACAAAGGCAGGATTTTGAAGATAGGAATTCAGAGAACAGCTAAGGAATTTTCTCCTTGCTTATATCAGATATCAAACTTGGTAGCTTGAATTCACCAGTGGTGATGAAAAGTTAGACAAAGGCTTCTAGGCAAGATTTTAGGAATTTATTTATAAAGTATGTATTAGTTTTTTAAATCTTTTCCTTTAAGTCCATTCTATTAGTGAAATAGTTATAAAGCAAAACATGCACAACTGTGTGAGGCATTACTCTCACTTTATGGGCAGTAGTTGTGTAATAATAATCTAGATAATCTAAGCTTTTTCTTAAGTAATCTAAATTAGATATTTAGTTCCAAACTTGGCAAAGTTCTTAACTATGCAAGAGTTGCATTAATGTGGGCAAGACTGTTAGCTGTTTTTTATTTGTTTGTTTGTTTTTTAACATGAAGAACTTCGTTCACATCTATAAAAGAAAAACATTTTCAAAGGCTTCTTAATCTTTTATACTAATAACACTATAAGTAGATAACTGACTTTATATAAAATAATTTTCTTAAGTTCTTAAAAAGATTTAAATAAGCAAGTTTAATTGATTATGTATTTCCTTAAAGATGTCATGAGATATACTAACCTGCTATCAATTGAAATATGCATAACAACCAAATACTTTCCTGGATAGTTACAACTTAAAACATTGTAGATGATCCATAAATGTTTTCTGAATGAATTTTTAAAATTAATTAGATGTATATATAATATAGAAAATAAACTTTTACATGTCATTGTTTTAGAGTATTTTAGGTTGCGCTTATAGTTTTATAAAAATAGAAAAATATCATTGTATCAAATACACTTATTCCAAATGAGGTCAAACATCTGGCTATTGGAAGTAGATTTATTCAACATTTGCTTACTCAATGTCCTAGGCCCGTGGTCGGCAAACTGTGGCTCGTGAGTCACATGCGGCTCTTTGGCCCCTTGAGTGTGGCTCTTTCACAAAATACCACTTGCGGGCACGCACGTACAGTGCGATTGAAACTTCGTGGCCCATGCGCAGAAGTTGGTATTTTGTGGAAGAGCCACACTCAAGGGGCCAAAGAGCCGCATGTGGCTCGCGAGCCGCAGTTTGCTGACCACTGTCCTAGGCTCATGAGAAACATTTTTTATCTAAAAGTTTGGGAACCACCATTCAAATATAAGAGATGCCAGTGCAGAGCTGTGTCTACTCAAAAGGGAGATTGCAGTGAACTTTACTTAGGTTGGAAACCTGAGTGTTCTAACCAGAAGAGAATCAGAGTGTTGGGTCCTTAGTGATCATTCATAGGTCAGCTTAATTCATCCAATAAACACTGAGACCCAACTATGTGTAGACACTAGCTCCAAATTAGGGACTAGAGATGGGATGATAAGTGTAAGTAGGTCCTCAGCAGAGTCCTGGGCACGAGAGGAGACTATGTGAAGAAAAAGTGCAAAATCAAGCAATTATAACACAATATGATCCTTTCATTTACACACATATCTTACACCTTCCAGCTAGAGAGAAGAATGCTTTAGGAGGGGAGAAACTTCAGTAGGACATTAGGGAAATATTCTGGTTGCAGCCACATATTAAGCTGCTCTCTTGGTTTTGGAGATGCTTATCTAGGCATGCAGCAGATGCAGGAACTGTTTTCACCCTAAGACAGTGATGGCGAACCTATGACACGCGTGTCAGAGGTGACACGCGAACTCATTTTTTTGGTTGATTTTTCTTTGCTAAATGGCATTTAAATATATAAAATAAATGTCAAAAATGTAAGTCTTTGTTTTACTATGGTTGCAGATAACAAAAAATTTCTATATGTGACATAGCACCAGAGTTAAGTTAGGGTTTTTCAAAATGCTGACACGCCGAGCTCAAAAGGTTCGCCATCACTGCCCTAAGAGGAGCAGTAAATGCTTGACTGCAATTTAGTATAGAGACAGCCTTTGTGAAGCCAACAACTGGGCCTCTTGCCTGCTATCTAATCAAGAAGCTGTTGTGTGAAAGGTATTTCACACTAGGTATACACCCTAGAGCAGTGGTTCTCAACCTTCTTAATGCTGCGACCCTTTAATATAGTTCTTCATGTTGTGGTGACCCCCAACCATAAAATTATTTTTGTTGCTACTTCATAACTGTAATTTTGCTACTGTTATGAATCATAATGTAAATATTTGATATGCTATATGTGTTTTCCGATGGTCGCGACCCACAGGTTGAGAACTGCTGCCCTAGAGAAACCTGCACACACGGATGTTCCCAGCAGCACTATTCACAATAGCCCCAAACTGGAGAACCCCAAATGTCTTTCAACAGTAGAAACAGTAATTAAATATAAGATGTTTGTGTAACTACAGCCCATATGAGCTGCAGCTGCAGGCCACCACCAGGATGAATCTTACAAGTATAAAACTGAGCAAAAGAAGCAAAATAGAAAAGAAAGTAATGTAGGATTCCATTGCTAAAACATTTAAAATCAGGCAGCACTAAACTATATTGATTGGGGATGTGAAATTAGGTGGTAAAACTGTAAAAAAGCAGGAAGTAATTGTCACCTAACAGAAGCACATTTACCTCTGTGGGGAGAGAGGGTATGATTGAAAAGACACAAGAGCCATTTTTGGGGACTCTGCTAACATTCTATTTTTTGTCCTGGAGCATGATGACATATTTATCTGTGCTCTATTCCATAAAATATTTTCTTAGGGGAGAAAAGAGTATATATTGCTGTGTCCTTTCCCTCATGTCCCCTCTGGGGACCTGGTGCCCAGAGCAGAGAGAGGCTCTGGGGGAGAAGACTCATGTGCCAGTTTGGGGAATGGCTGTGTGTTTTGGGGGAAGGAAGAGCTGCCAGGTGCCAGGAACTGTGAATCCTGCACAGAGATCAGCGAACTCGTGGCATTTCCCCAGAACTGAAGCTTCTAGAGCTCCTAAGTCCTCACCCAGACTCTCATAGCTCTCCCTGGCACGGAGTCACCTGCCTGTGCATCATCTCTATACCCCCCTGTCTCCCTCACCTCCCAGAGCCTGATGTAGCAAGGACACTCAGTACGTGTGGGTCGAAGAAGCTTAGATTTGAGTCCAAGTTTCATCACTTAGTAGCCATGCAATATCTACCCTCTTTTAGTTTCAGGTTCTTTACCTTCAAAATAGGCAGAAATACACCCACCCCACCAGAGTGCTATGAGGATCACAAGAGAAAATAGGTATGAAGTTGCTTTGTTGTAAACTATAACTTAAACTTAAGGGCTTTGAATCATTGCACCTTCTTAAGCCTCTTTGGCTTTCCTGACCCTGAGCTTCGCCAAACCTGTAAAATTGAGAACCCAGAGACCAGTGATGAGAGGGAACTGGCCAAAGGAGTTTAGAAGTATTGGTTGGAACTACCCCAGCAAGGCCAATTTCCTCACTTTTCCTTTCCTAACGAGGAACATGGGATCTCAGAGTCTGAGCAGAACTCACATTTGCAAAGGGAAAGCCTGGACCTAGAAGCTCCCTGGCTAGCAAAATGAGCAGCCACGTGGGAAGCAGGACTTCCAGTTGCCCCGCCACACCTGTGCTTTCACTTTCCATGCAGCTGGGCATCTGACAGGCCATTTCCCTCTCACCTGTAAAATGGGGAGGTTGAACTTCATGGTTTCTCATTCTTGTCAAAGCAGATCGCCTCTCTGGGGCTCAGTGTCCCCTTCTGTCAAATGAAGGTGGTGGGCTTATATCTGTGGCTCTCCACCCTGGCTGCTCAGGAAAAATCACTTGGGGAAATTTTTTTTCAAATATCAGCATGGGGCCCCCACTTCCCGTGTGGCTGAGAACCAAAGCATATGTGACCTGTCAGTGTATGGCAGCATGGTGTCCCCAGCCCACAGCAGGGGGCAGAATGGGCGGCCACTGAGGCTCCTGACCCATAGCTCCAGGGATGCCACTTCTCATGCTTGCCCCCTAGACCAGTGATGGTGAACTTATAACACGTGTGTCAGGTGACACTCGAACTCATTTTTTTGGTTGATTTTTTTTTTGCTAAATGGCATTTAAATATATAAAATAAATATCAAAAATATAAGTATTTGTTTTACTATGGTTGCAACTATCAAAAAAATTTCTATATGTGACACGGCACCAGAGTTAAGTTAGGGTTTTTCAAAATGCTGACACGCCGAGCTCAAAAGGTTCGCCATCACTGCCCTAGACTGACCTCCTCACTCATGGGGCTGAGGGAGTTCTACCACCACCTGCAGCATAAATATCTGTGTGTGTGTGGTGGGCGAGGGGGCTAGTTTAAAATGCACCCACCTCACCTCTACTATTCCTGGAATCTGACCTGGGAGCCCACTGGGGAAGAAGTTCAGTGAGAAAGGATTTCAAGTTAAAGACCATGGAAGAATCTTCCCTCAGACCCCATCAGGGAGTAGAGAACAAAATTAAGTGTTCTGTTAAATTGGGCATTGAAGTAACCTGAAGTACCAGGCTGAATTAGACAGAGAGACAGGCAGTTCTCTGGAAATTCTTAAAGAATCCAGACACAGGGCACTTTGCACCAGCCCCATACTCCGGCTCTAAATTACTCTGTGTTGAGGCACCCCCATGCTTGGAAGTGTGTAATGACTATGCTCCTGAAATACAGTCTTACTGTATAGCTTATGGAATTGGGGCAGATGCCTGCCACAAGGAATTTTCACTGAAAACTAAAGAACTAGTCTGATACTTCTGATTCATTCTGAATTAATCTGATGGTAATGGAGTGGTGGGGGTTTCTATTGAATTTACCTGGTTATTTATATTATACTCTACTTTTGATTGACCCACAGATCTTGTTGAAAAATCTATCAGGGTGTGACGTTCAAAGGGAATTGTAGTGGTCCCCATTCTTTCAACTGCCCAGCCTCATCCAGTCCTTACGGTGGTACCATTATCACCCACTCCCCTTAAGAACAAAAGAAAATGAGAGAGGCGTTAAGGGACGGCATGGAGAAGGCCTGGATGAGGCAGAGTGGGAAGGAGAAGGAAAGGAGTACAGAAGGCATTCCAGAGACTTTTCCACCTTCAGAGCAAAATTGGTATGAATTTAAATTCAACAAATAAACAACAAAAACCCCTGAATTTTTACCTTGCTCCTCCCAGTCTCAAACTTACCTTAAAGGGTTTGTGCCAAGTCTGCCTTACCAGAGATAACCACAGAGTAGAAGGTATTATCTAATATATTTTAAAATGCTTTCATTTAAAATGTACAGATAATTGATATAAAAATTTTCACCCAACTTTTCATTTGCCAATGTTGCTGTGGTGTTCAGCCATCTCCCCAGGTTTGCTCTGTGTCTTTTACAAAATTTCTTTATCCTCATGGACCAAAAAAGCCCAAGTAAATAATCTTAGATACAAAACTAAATGATAACTTACCTGGGATTGAGGATGTGTCCTCATAATTCCAGACCAAAAAGAGAAAGCCGGTGAGCAGCAGGATGGGCATGGTGGCAACAGGAACGGCTTCAGGCACTACTACGCTGGTAATGTTATAATGCACTGGGTTCAGCATTTCCAAAATCATACTGTGATCCTTGATCTCAAGGGAGGCACGTTAAAGTCCTGTGGAAATCAAAGGGGCCGAAAAATTAGAGAATCCCCCAAGAGGTATAGCTAGGACTCCTGTCCCTTGAGAAGATGCTGTATTGCAGAGAGCTGCACTTTGTTTTATAACGCGATTGGACACTTAGACAAGACAAATTTGACCTGTGGGTACAAGTCAAAACAAGCAAGCCCAAGAGAGATCTTTTGGCTTGACATGCAGCATTTTTGACCTTGATAGTCTCAGGTTCATTTAGACGCTTGGTCTGATAGAACCTTATCATTTTGCCCTTGAGTGGATAGAGTGACTGAATTCCCAATTGAGAGCCAGATTTCTTACCAAAATACAAGAAAATGAAGCTCATTCCAGAGGTGGAGTCATTCTGTGACTTCATCAGCAGATTTTGTATAGGCAATCTTTTCCCCTTGCAGCCAAATCATTTTTTTTTTTAAAAAAGCAATCCCCAACACCCTTCCTTGCTCAAAATTGCTTTCCCTAAAGAATAAGCTTCTCTAGCAAGAATGTGTTTCTTGGTCATCAGTGAGGCATTCTCAGAGCCCCCCATTAGATTGTATATTGAATTCAAGTTGACTCACTCAGGACAAGTGAGGCTTAAAACCGTTTGCATCACAGGCTGAATTAAGCAATGCCTGTGGGGCCAGTGTCCAAGGTAATAGGAAAGAAGAATGGGAGAGGGAGAATAAAGGAGAGGAAAAAGAACAAGAATGGGAAGGAGGAAGAATAGAAAGGACAGACAGAGTAGAATGCCACCAGCGATAGGCTCAGGTGCCACTCAGCAACCTTGCTCCTCACAGCAGCTAACCTCCTGTGTAAGACGATTTTCAGTTTGATTTGCTGGTTCTGTATTTCAACAACTTAATGTTGAGTCTGTCTTTACAATAAGGCTTCCTAATACCTATACTCTCAAGAGAGAGTTTCAGAGATGCTGATTTGTTGAAGATACCTAGATTGAATAGATTTGTAGGGGGAGGAAAGAGCAACCATTCAATGCAGTTCCCCAGGGCCTGATGACTATTTGAAGGTTTACCTTCCTTTAGAAAGTGCCTGAAGTTTCCAGGACTTGTAATGGCTCTGAAACAGATTTTGTCTGGGTTTTATCTAGTACTAAGGTGCTAGATTCTTAGCCAGGGCTTCTAATTGGATTTCAGGGGCTTTGTGAACTCCCTGAAATGCTGCATAAAATGCTGTATCTGCTCATCTGCCCTTTTCAGAGGGAAAGAATCCAGACCTCTTATCACATTCTTAAAGACTGTGTACTTATAATTCTCCCAAGATCCATGAGATCTTAATCATCCAACCAAAGACCCATTTCTAGCAACTGCATTCAATTGCTTGATTCAGTCTATTTTCCCACTTTTTAAATAATCATTAACGGTTAAGTGCAAGGCACTAAAAATACCTGTACATGTATTGAAAAGTTAATGTGTGTGTGTGTGTGTGTGTGTCTAAAGTTGAGACTGGAATTTAGCAATGTTTCTGTAACTATCTGGTTCCTTTGTTAATGAGTAGGCGCTGCTTTGCACAGGTTGAGTTTTTTGGTTTTTAATTTCCAGAATGGAATTTGATATTCTGAGTAAGCTCCTGTGACTTTCTAGCAGGACCCTCCAGATTTCTATTCATATTGATGAAACCTGAAACCAGTGTTAAAAGCATAAGTGGAGAAAGTGATTGTGACAAAAAGGAGGATGATGTCACAGAGGAAGTGATGCTGGCAGAAAACTTCACATTGAAGGAACTCTCAGATATTTCACAACATTGAAAACACAAGGGATAAAATATTGGAAGCTGATGCAAATTTATAAAGGAGTATGGCAGTTCACCGAGGTGTTCACCAAGGTATGCTCCCTTGGTATCCTAAGTTATACAAAGAAGTCATGACCTTTTCAAATACTCTTGATATGTGTGCTTTTTAAACAAAGAAAGAAAACTCTTTAAGAATTGCAGTGTTTCTAATGTTTTAAATTACAGTGTATTAAATATTAGTTTTACTTTTTTTTCATTTTCCTATACATTTAAAGCCTACAGTAAGAGTTTTTAATGTTTCAACAAAAATGTGGAGGGTCACAGCAGTGATTTTTCTCTCTTGGTTTTGAAGATAGCTTTGGCGCAGTTTCAGCTTGCATGGTCACTTTTACAATCCCACATTATCGTGTGAGGTGAGGATTGCCTTGATGTCTAAACTTTTAGCCTTTTAGCGGGGCTAAGAAGCTCAGTTTCTCATCTTCCCAAAAAGTTCATCAAGACGACTCAGAAAGTACTGTTTAAAGACCTGACAGGCTAAGATTTTTTAAATTGATCTTTTAGGTAGAGAAGGAGAGGGAGGGAGGGAGGGAGGGAGGGAGGGAGGGAGGGAGAGAGACAGACAGAGAGAGAGAGAGAGAGACACATCAATTTGTTGTTTCAGTTATTCATTGGTTGCCTCTTGTATGTGCCCTGACCAGAGATCGAACCCATAACCTTGGTGTATCAGGACTATGCTCTAACCAATTTAGCTACTCAACCAGGGCAGGATGAGAATTTTTTTTTTAATGCTAACAAAGCATTTTGCTATATGTCAGGCACTTTACAAATATTAAGCCATTCATCCTCACTACAGTCATAAGAGCTAAGTGTGAGGATCCCCATTTTACAGGTGATGAAACTGAGGCATAGTCCTAGGGCACCCAACTTGTTTGTGGCAGAACTGAGATTGGTGTTCATATAGTCTGTCTCTAGAGCCCATGCTCTCTCTCTCTCTCTCTCTCTCTCTCTCTCTCTCTCTTTTTTTTAAAGA